CTTCCTTCCTTCCTTCCTTCCTTCCTTCCTTCCTTCCTTCTTTCTTTCTTTCTTTCTTTCTTTCTTTCTTTCTTTCTTTCTTTCTTTCTTTCTTTCTTTCTTTCTTTCTTTTTCTTTTTTTCTGGTCTTTTTGAAGCACGGTTTCCCTGGAACTCAGCATGTAGACCATGCTGGCCTTGAACTCACAGAGATCCTTCTGCCTCTGCCTCCCAAGTACTGGGACTAAAGGCTTGCACCACCACGCCAGGCTGTGGCTTTTCATCTATCTCAGAAAAATCCCCAAACCTGTGTTCTACAAGGTGCACATCTGTGACTCAGGCTGCCTTAAAAAACAACAACAACAGCAACAACAACAACAACAACAAAGAAGATTTATTATTCTAGGGCTGGAGAAATGGCTCAGGAGCACTGGCTACTTTTCCAGAGGACATGCGTTCAGTTCTCACCACCCACATGGCAGCAAACAACCATATTTAACTCCACTCCCAGGGAATCCAACACTCCTTGTCTGGCTTTTGCAGGCATTGCACAACACGGGTACACTTACATACATGCAGGCAAAACATTCATGTACATAAAAAATATTTATTTTGTTGTATGTGTGTCAGTACCTGTATGTCCATATGTGAACTGTGTGCATGCTTGGTGTTCCTGGGCACCAGGGGAGGGTATCCCATCCCCTGGCAGTTTCAGGCAGTTGTGAGCTGCCATTTGGGTGTTAGAAGCTGAAGCTGGGTCCTCTGCAAGAGTCGCTGGCACCCTTAACTTCTGAGCCATCTCACCAGCCCTTTAGCTCCTGTTTTCATTTCCTCTCATCCCTCTTTCTTTTCAGCTTTTACTACATCATGACACTTGTAGCGCCTCAAAGAAAATCGGCATATCTTGCCTCTGGACCTTTAGATATAGTTCCGCATAGTCCCCCTCATGCTTTTCTTTGTGTTTTGTTTTATTTGAGAGTTTCATGTAGCCTAGGATGGCCTCCTACTCCCTATAAATCTGAAGGTAACTTTGAAGTTCTGAGCCTACTGCTTACACCTCCCAAGTGTGAGGATTGCAGATGTGTGCCACCAAGCCCAGTTTATGGGATACTAGATATTGATCCAGGGCTTCATGCACAATAGGCAAGCACTCTGCCAACTGAGCCCCAGCCAGCCCACATGGCTGACTCCTCAGCACTGCTGGCTCCCACGCTTCTCTGAGATCTGTGCTGGACACTGTCTTCTCAGGGAAGCCATCTTTATCTCTGTCTAAAGTAGAATCTCCGACTTGCCTTATCATTCTTTCTTCTCACTGGTTTCTGTATCACACACAGCACTGTGTGTTCCCTGGTCGGTCTCATCCTGCTGGTACCCTACCACAAGCTAGGGTGGAGCCTCCATGATGTTGCAGTGACATGACATGTTTTCTTTACTGCTTGTGGCTAGGTGCCTTAGATTAATCAACCCTTATGCAAGAGACACTCAATAACCTTTTAGTGAATCAGTGAACATTATGTTTTAGATGTTCTCTCCTTGGATGTATTTTTTTTTTATATTTGCTTTTTCATTCATTCTATAACGCTTACTTTATTTATAGTGCTTAACTCTCGGGCTTTACTGATATATTGATGAAAAGAAAGCAAAGCCCTTTATCTTAATGCTTTGTATGTATTAGTTTCAAAGGCTCAGTACATGCTTTATCCCTTGTGAAAAGTGGACAAATTCTAGATTTAAGTTAAAGTTCATGAACATTTTCTTTTCTTTTTTCTCCCCTTTTCTTTCTCTTCCTTTCCTTTTCCAAATTGCTGTCATCTAGTTTGTTTTATAAGATCAAGTATCAAGGACAGATTTACTTGATAGAGTTAATTTGTAGCCTGTTTTGATTATTTTTCAGACATTAGAATATATCATTTTAAAGGAAGTGTAGTAACTTTTTTCTTAACATTTAGAAAATGATATCCTTGTTTATAAACCCCTCACCTTAATTACTATCTGAAGTCTTGGATCCTGAACAAACACATTCTACCTAATTACTATCTGAGGTCTGTACTGGATACTTCATGTGTGGACAGGTATTTAAAAATGAGATTTAAAGGGGCTGGAGAGATGGCTCAGCAGCTAATCCCCGGGTTAGCACCACATGGCAGCTAACAACTGCCCATAACTCCAGTTCCAGGGGATCCGACAGCCTCTTCTGTCCTCCGCGGGTATTGTATAGCACGGGTGCACTTACCTACATGCACGCAGTACATGCATACACGTAAAGTTAAAAATAATAAATGAAATATTTTATAAAGTGAGATTTATATAGATAAGGAGTGACCTATATCACTGAGCAACCCATGCCATGACTTGAATCAGTTTTTCTCTTTTCTGTCTTCTGTGTGCACCCCCCTTCCTTTTTGTGATGTGAAGTTGTCCTTGTAAGCCTCATTTCTGGTTTGTCTGTCAGCCAACAGCAGTAAAGATGGAGACAAAGGCCTGCTCTGTCACCCAGCAGCCTGAGGAGTGCCCCTACTCTAAGGTCCTCCACTAGGTAAAACCAGATCCTTGGCTTTGATAGAGAAAAGAATTTCAGGACAAACTGGTATGGACCAGTGTTGAGTTTATTGAAAAGTAGAAAGAAAGGTGCTCAGGGAGAGTGAGGCATGGCTGTGGCCATCTCTAAGAAGAGTCACAGTTCAATAAATGACTACTTTTTATTTATTTATTTATTTATTTAATTTTTGGTCTTTTTGTGACAGGGTCTCCCTGTAGCCCCAGCTGTCCTGGAACTCACTATGTAGACTTGGATGGCCTTGAACCCACAGAGATCTGCTTGCCTCTGCCTCCCAAGTGCTGGGATTAAAGGCATTTGCCACCACGCCCAGCAATAAATGACAATTTAAGCAAGGATTTTCAGCATGGGAGAAGATGGGTTAAGAAACAGAGCAATGCTCATGGAAAGACTAAGAAATACTTAAGTGTGGATAGGGATTCTTGAGAGAGAGGACCCCTTCAAAGTGGTGACTGTATATAGGATTTTAGAAGCTTTTGGACTTTCATTGCTCAGTGGATTTCTAAAGAACCCTCTCCTCCTCTACCTCTCCTACCTCTGCTTCCCTCCTCTGTAATTGAGATTATAGGATGGCTCCAGAGATGCCTAGGATTTGAGTACAATCCAGTAAAATGGTATAAGGTTGTAAAAGGAGTTTCTGGTGCTCTTCCTAGAAAACTGCAGACTTATAGCTGGAAAGGGAAACAGATCATAAGTAAATGTTATGTGTGTTGGATTCTTGGTTCTCTGCTGGCTAGAGCTTCAATCATCTGGGATGGGGACTTTCTTTCTCATGCTCATTATTTTGCCCGTCTTTCTGTCCTATGTCACCTCTTCAAATAGAAGTACTCAGTAGCCTTTGTTTACAAATTAGCACTTACTTGTGTAACCATGTGTACAAGATTTCTTCTTTGAGATGGCTCGTGGCTTGACAGTCCCTATGGATGAATCTGAGGGGAGAATGTGGAAGACAAGCATCACAGTCCACATGGGCATTTTTAAAAATTAATTTTATGCATGTGAGTGTTTTGCCTGCATATGTGTGAGTGCACCAGTGTGCATGCAGTTCCTGTGAAGGCCAGAAGAGAGATCTGAATGTGTTGAATCCCCTGAAACTGGATGGTGGTTAGCCACAATGTGTGTGTTAGGAACAGAAGTTCGGTCCTCTGCAAGAGCACCCAGTGCTCTTAGCCACTAAACCATCTCTCTAGCTTTTAGAGGAAAATAACTGCAGATCCTGCATCCATCCTCATCAGTGCTTAGATTGAGACCCAGTCCCATGTGCATTCCTTGTATTTGTTTTTGATCAGATACAGAATTCCAAGTCAAAGATGCCGCATCCTGCCATCGTTCATTGGACTTAGGAGAGCGTTTGATGAGAACGCCAAAAGCTTTCAGTTTAATAAGCCCCAAATATAGCAGTGTGAATTATCTTCTGTGCTTTAAGCCTTGTGAGCATGGCCTTCTTTGTCAGTTTCTAAACTATGATGAATGTTTCCAATAAGCCTAGCCATTGAAAATAAAGAAGAATCATTGTTTATGGAAAGACCATTAACTAGATGATTTCAAATTTTCAGTCTTTCATCCTCAGGAGCTCCCTCTGTACAGATCTCTGTTCTGCTGTCTGAAGTATGCAACATGTCCCTCTACATACTTATTTGCTTGTTTCAAAAGGATAAACTGCAAGTCTTTCTTTCATTGTTGTTTTTGAGACAAGGTCTCACCCAAGTCCCTACACTGACAACAATGACCTTGAACTTCTCATCCTCCTGCTTCTCCACATCTGCAGTCCCAGGAGGTTGGGACTCCAGGGCTTCATGCGTGTTAGATGAGCTTTCTACCAAGTGAGCCATCTCCCCACCTCTCATAAGAATAAACTGTAAGTCTTGTTTATTTTTGGTTTTGTTTTGAGGGTAAAAAAAGTGACTAGTGAGGCTGTTTTCCAAAATGGTTTTGTCTGGAATATTCCAATTAAAAATTAATAAAATACTCAGGTTGAAGATGCTCCATTCTGACTCAGGAGACCTCTGGGCCGTATTGTGAGGAAGCTAGCTAGCATTTCACTAAGTGTATGTCTTTATTGCATGGAAGGACAACTCACTTTGTATAAATTGACAAAGTAGAATTTTTTATTATTGACAGGTTTGGCAAACATCGGAAAGATGACAAGATTGAGAAAATGGGTAGAATAAAAATCCAGGATTCCTTCACGTCGGAAGAGGACAGGATGCGGATGAAGCAAGAGCAGGAGAGGTAGGCCTTGAAGATGCTGCCCCTGGGCTCCTGCTGGGGTCCTGTCCTTGCTCTGGGGGTCCTGTCCTTGCCCTGGGCTCCTGCTGGGGTCCTGTCCTTGCTCTGGGGGTCCTGTCCTTGCCCTGGGCTCCTGCTGGGGTCCTGTCCTTGCTCTGGGGGTCCTGTCCTTGCCCTGGGCTCCTGCTGGGGTCCTGTCCTTGCTCTCGGGGTCCTGTCCTTGCCCCGGGCTCCTGCTGGGGTCCTGTCCTTGCCCTGGGTTCCTGCTGGGGGTGTTGCCTTACCACAGCCTCTCTCTTAAATGGAAATAGTTTTGCACTCAATTGTATTTTTTGTGTGATGGTTGTGGGCCAAATATGATGTAAAGGAAGATTTTGTTTTTTTATATATTTTTTACTATTTTTTTTATTTGTAGATTTTTTTGTGTGTTTCTTACAGAACATCCCAAACAATCTTATTCATCTTTATACCTGCATCCCAAATGACACCTCCCATAACCTCCCCCGCCACCACTGGAGCCCATATACTTTGTCATCCCTGTTACTGTCCGCTGTGTTATCAGTGCTCCCCAGCTGTTCCCCAGTGCTATTCCATCCACTGAATCTAGTCAGCCTATCTAGATTTCCTTGTTTTAGGAAGATCAGCTGTTCCTCATCTAGCAGCACTCAGTTGTCAATATTCCTTAGGATAAGTCTGGGGTCTGCTGTTCATTTTCCCAGTTCTATGCTGGGTTACTGTCTGGGAGTCTCTTGGGCTACCCTAGCCAACAACTCAAAAGAAGGTATCTCCTGTCTGGCATTGTTGCTTGTTATGTAGCCTTTAGCTATATACATGGACTCTTAAAGAATTATACTGATCACTTTAATCTTTGGTTATACTTTCCTTTTGGGTGTTTAAGACCATACAGTTGGCCCAGATAAACCAATTTATTTTTACTCTTAAGGTCGTTTGAGGATCTGTCCCTCAGGGGTCACATGGGCTTGAGAGGAGCCCCTGGCTCCTTTCTTTTACCAGTTCCATCTATGTGAAGATAAGTCAAAAGTCCTGCCCAACCATGGCTGGCTTCACTTGGAAGCATGGAGGAAATATGATGCAAAGGAGGATTTTAAAAATATATAAAAGAAGGAACTTTTATATTTATTTAAACCTAAGTGAGTTTTAATGGTTTTAGTTATTACATAGTAGACTAGATAGCTATCCATTACTACTGATTTTATGATATTTATTGGAGTTTTTATCTGTGTGCTGTGTGTCTGTCTGTACTTTTTTGGGGGGATTATATCAGAGTACATGTGCACGTGTGTGTAGAAGCTGGAGGCTAAAGTCTGGTGTCTTCCTCTATTGCTCTTAACTTTTCATTTTCTTCTCCTTTTTTTTTTTTTTTTTTTTTTTTTTTTTTTGACACTGGGTCTTACTATGTAGAAGGTTCCATGGGGTGCTAAGTAGAAAGTATGTCCTTTGGTGCTTGGGTGGAATACTCGGTAGATGTCTGTTAAGTCCTTTTGATATATGGTATTGTTTAATTCAGATGTCTCTCTGTTAACTCTCTGCCCTGTTGACCTATCTAATAGTGGGTGTGCTGGATAGCTTTAGTGTCAACTTAACACACCTGGGTTAAGGGAGCCTCGGTTGGGGAATTGCCTCTATTGGACTGGCCTGTGGCCATGTCTGAGGAGCATCTTCTTGATGAGTGATATGGGAGAACCCAGCCCACTGTGGATGGTACCACCCCTGGGCAGGTGGGCCTGTGTTGCATAAGAAAGAAGGCTGAGCAGGGGCCAGGGGAGCAAGCCAGTAAGCAGCGTTCCTCCATGGCCTGTGCTCCAACTCCTGCCTCCAGGTTCCTGCCCTGAGTTCCTACCTTGGGCTCCCTGAGGAACTGCGACCTGGGAGTTCTAAGCTGAATAAACCCTTTCCTCCCCAAGTTG